GGGGAACGGTGGCCCACTGACCGGCACGTACACACGTGAGACGGTGCCAGTAATTTTACGGATGTTAATAGAATCCAGGTTGCAGAATACATATTTTGAAAGGAAGGAAAATGACTTCGGTAACTGTAGTTTAAGATTATTCTTTTTTTAAATTGATGTTGAATCAAAATGTTTAAAATATTGCCTCGAGGATCTCATATGTTTCAGTTTTACTTTTGAACTACTTCACCTCCCCTAATCATAGGCCAAGTTACAAAATCAGAGCACAGGGGTGGGTGGGGCGGGAGGTGTAAGGGGAGAATATTGGTTCGTTTTTATTGTAATGCCCCATGTAAGAAAAAATCGCCTAGTTTCCAGGTCCACTGATATTTATAGCTGCAGCACAAAAGGCACAATAAAGCAACATCCACTAAGATCATAAAATAGTGCTATTTACCTGACCACTCACTGTACAATGTCCCAGTTTGGCAAAGGTGTTTGTTCATTTTAATAATGGAGGCACTGGGGATTGAACCCAGGACCTCGTGCATGCTAAGCAGGCGCTCTAACCACTATACCCTCCCCCTTTTTTTTAAACTTTGAGTTATAAAATTTTTCAAATACACAGAAGAGTAGAGAAATAAAATTGTGAACTTCATGAGCCCATCACCTAGATTGAACAATTATTAAATTTTTGCCGTATTTGCTTCAACTGATATTTTGCTAGTGTTTTAAAATAAATTATAGAGGTGACGTTTCCTCCTTACATATGTCAGTGCACAACTCTATAAAATAAGGATATTTTCTTACATAACCTCCATATCATTATCACATCTAACAAAATTATCAATCATTCTTTAATATTATCTCACATTCAGTCCATATTTAAATTTTCCCAGTTGTTTAAATTTCAGTCCATCTACACCAGGATCCAAAAGAAGCCCACACATTATATGCAGTTTTATGTCTAATAAGTCTCAAGGATAAATCAAGGATTTACAGCGGTTTTTTGATACTCGGGATTCTCAACGTCATACATATGAAATACGAGTACATTTTAGGGCCCTATCCTGTCATAGAATTCAGTACACTCCATTAGCAAGAGTATGCTTTGGTTTTCCTTTAGGATTGCATAGTCCTTTAAGATTAAATATTTTCCTTTAGGATTATCTATTCTCAAGTAGAAACTGTCCAGAGAGTTTTGTTATATTAAACCTTAGGACTGGTGTTTTGATTTGTGACAAGGAATATTCAGAATGCACGGAGCACATTATCAGAAACTCACAAACCTGCACCCTCTGGCGCCTACACTCTACTGCAGAGGGTTTCCCAGCAAGACTTTGGGAGAGGAACGTCTAATGAGGACTCCGGCTGGGCCCTCTGAAGGTGCGTGCAAGATTGCTCACACCCCCGAACGGTAGTAACTCAGACAACAAAGGAAAGGGCAGAAAAGGCATCTGTTTTCAATTGTGATATAAAAATCTCGCCAAAGGCTACAACACATTTGGAGAC